CTACACTGAGCTGATGCCTGTATTCAATGCACATTACACATCAGCCTCTTTTGGGGCCTCCTAAGTGTCTACTTCTGCTCTGCCCCCACCTCTGTACACTGTCCCATACTCTCCCAAATGCCTCTAGCAGCTTCCAGGCCTCTGAGTTTGAAGCACTGCAGCAGCACAGTTTCTTCTACCCAGGGGAGGAGGGAGTCCCCAGACCCCAGTGAGTCATCCCTGACTCCTCCCTATACACTGGAGCCACCAGGGCCTTGACTTCTCCTCAGTGAAACACTCCCATGTATCCTAGGGAGAGAAGACTGTGCCTTCCAAGGGCTGCCAAGGGAATTGATTTAACCCATTTACCAGATTAAGGTGAAAGGAAAAAGAAAAGAAAAATATGTAATTCTGAGGGCAAATTTCTCTCCTTTCTCTGAACCCAAATTAAAGCAAACCAAGTGGCTGAGTCTTATAGTTTTATTACTCCTCCATCCCCATGTACTGACACTATAATCAAGCTATTTTCCAAGCCTATGCATTTGGATAATATGATTCTATTGTTAAAAAATAAGAAAGTTTTGTATCCATTGAAGTACAGAAGAAAAAAATCTTCAATTACATTGGTGATGGGAACAGGTGAGAGGCAAAAGTATATTAATATTAGATCCCAACTCCATTAGAGTAATTTAAAAGGCTGGAGATATCATTAGCCCACTGCTCAAATTGGTAAACAAGCAATTTGTACGTCCTTGGTGGCTCCATGGCATATCCTGAAGAGCAGAAGGGCTTATACCTAATCCCAAGGTCCTCCCAGGGCCACAAAATGCCTTACTGGAGGTGAGAGGAGGGAAAATGGTGCTGAGGTTCAGCTAAGTAAGAGGCTACCTACAAAGGAGGGTGCCTGCTGAGAAGCTGAGTCAGCCTGTGTCCTTTTTGCTGACCATGGTTTCCAAGTGTTTCCTATATGCAGGATGCTCCTCTGCTAAGCAGAGTAACTGGTAGGATAGAGAAGTTTCAGTTGTGGAGTCCAACCCTGGTTTCCAGAAAATGGAAAGTTTACACATTCCTATTTAGGATAACTTAATAAAAGAAAAAACAGCTTCCCTGTTTGGAGTTAGGGGCATCTGGCATGATCTCTGAGGAGCCCAACAAGATAACTTAAGAATCTAAAGTCCTGTAAACTATGTCCCAGGGAAATGTAAATGACTGGGCTGCTGTTCTAAGCTATGTTCAAGACCTCAACTCTTAGGTAACTGTGACCTGCTGATATACAACCTGATTCTGGGAGATATTGTAAATATGGCTTAGGGTCCTGGCATCATAAAACCTCAGCTTGATTATCCTCTCTTCCTATGTGTTGAAACACTGTACCTTCACAGCTGTAGATTGACAAGTATTAAGCCACAAAGGAGGGAGAAGTGGTGGGTGCCAACACAGAGTTGGCTCAAGGAAGTCTCATCATATCTGTCTCTCCTGGATGATGTGCTCATATGTGTGCATGCGTGCAAGCAAACACACACACACACAAACACACACACACACACACACATACACACACACACACACAGTGCTGTCTTCACAGCCACACTTTTTCCTTAACACCAAAATGTAACTTTTACTTTCAGCAGAGATGGAAACCATTCTCTCCAGGCAGACTCCCCATGTCTTTCCTCTTATACTTGTTTACCCAGAGAATGGTGACCATAGACCAGTCCGGCTCAGCAAGTCAATCTCAGGAGTATATGAGGCCACATTTCTAATGAGACCCTAAGCTCCCCTTTGCTTCCTGTGATATATAAAAGAAAGAGACTGGTGTGGTGGCTCATGCCTATAATCCCAGCATATTAGGAGGCCAAGGTGGGTGGATCATGAGGTCAGGAGTTCAAGACCAGCCTGGCCAACATGGTGAAACCCCATCTCTATTAAAAATACAAAAATTAGTTGGGTGTGGTGGTGAGTGCCTGTAATCCCAGCTACTTGGAGGCTGAGGCAGGAGAATCGTTTGAACCCAGGATGCAGAGGTTGCAGTGAGCCTATATTTTGCCATTGCACTCCAGACTGGGTGACAGGGGAGGAGCCCATCAGGAAAGAAAGAGAGGGGAAAGAAAGAAAGAAGGAAAGAAGGAAGGAAGGAAGGAAGGAAGGAAGGAAGGAAGGAAGGAAGGAAGGAAGGAAGGAAAAGAGAGAGAGAAAGAAAGAGAAAAAGAAAGAAAGAGAAAAAGAAAGACAAGAAAGAAAGAAAGAAAGAAAGAAAGAAAGAAAGAAAGAAAGAAAGAAAGGAAAAGAGAGAGAAAGAAAGAGAAAAAGAAAGAAAAAAAGAAAGAAGAAAGAAAGAAAGAAAGAGAGAGAGAAAGAAAGAAAGAGAAAGAAAGAAAAGAAAGAAAGAGGGAGGGAATATATACAAAGGAAGGAAGGAATGACAGAAGGGTTTCTCTCAATTTGAGGTTCTCCTGTATCACTCTCAAGATAATTGCATATTCTAGACAGAAATAATCCACCCTTGCAGGTAAAGGTAAAAGACTGACTAGTCCACAAGCATCATTACTGGCCTTCTCACCCCCTACAAGCTTCCTAGCTTGTGGAGCACAAGAACCAGATCAATACTGTCAATATGTCGCTGCCAGCAGGGCACGGGTGGCTACCAGCCTTGGGGAGCATGATGTGCTACTAGGCTGAACTAATCACTCCTTGGCATTTCAGGAGCACTTAGGTTAACAGATCACAGCACATCCATAATGGAAGACAATAACTCACCCAGGGGGAGGGCAGGAGGGAAACACTGAGTTGGTCCCCATAGAGGGACAGTTAGTATTTACATAAATCAACCTGAAGCCATATTGGTGATTCCTTAAAGGGGCCAAAAATTTTAGAAAGAAGAAAAGCCCAGGAAAACCCTGGGGGAGAGGAGATTGGATTGCATCCTTAATTGAATAAAGACATTTAATCAAGGGGATGGTCTTTCTACCAAAAGTCTCACACTTGAAGAATTTAACAGGTATAACTGCAGGAGACAAAGGGAGAGATTAAATACTTTAATTTTATAAAGTTCAAATGTATGAAATTTAGAAATATTTTAGATATCAGTGAATGGTTCCCAAAGGATATGATTATTTTAACTCTTAAAAACACATTTTTATATCTTCAAGGGATTTTCTCTGCTAGAATATCTGCTATCAAGTTTATGCAAAATAAATTTTCTTTCCATTTTCAAAATAAAATAAATGTATACAGACCCTCTAAGGAGTCTCAACTTTTGGGGAGGTAATTTGCTAATTCAGTGTACATATGAATCATCCAGAAACACAGTTAAAATATAAATTTCCTGGGCCTCAGCTTGAGATTTTCATTCAGCAGTTTTTCAGGGAAGAAACAAAAATATGCATTTTTAACCAGCTTCTCAGAGAATTCATTAAAAAGGGAAAAAAGTCCTTAGAGAAATGTTGCTTGGACTTGTACAACAAATCAGAACTGCTCCGTTTTCTGGACACCTCAGGCTGTGCGGGGAAGGTAGAAGGAATGCTCTTTAAGAGACCAAACCTGGGACTACCCTGGCCCTAATTTGGCTCTAGGTCTAAGCCTCCCAAACCACTTCCCTGTCACACGTCTGCATTCAGAGGAGGCATCAAAACCCTCTGCAAACAAATAATCCAGGAATTTTGAACACTAAGGAGGGAAGTCCAAGGCAGGGGCTGGAACCCAGGAAACCAGCTTGCTGATTTTCTTGAAACTGGTCACGCTGACCACAGTCTCCCTATCTGCCCACCCTCATCAAACAGCTGCACGGGGGAAAGATGATAAGTATGATTTCTTTTTCAAGTGGTCCTAATGCTGCAGGATGAATCAGGGATAAGCATGCATATTTGCATTTGAAGCGGGTGGGAGTGGGGAAGAATCGTTGAATATCTAGTTCCCTAAAGAGGAGCAAGGATTAGCCTAAAAGGTTTGTAGCCTGGCCAAAACCCAGAAATGCAGAAGGATCTGGAGTGAGATCCACAAAGTACCTTGCACCTCACACCCTCACCCAACCTCAGGAGGCCCAGAATAAAAAGCAGTGGGGTGTCAAGTGGGGCAAAAGCGACTTGCTCAGATAGCTTTCCTGTGGCTGAGAACAAGCACCTGTCCCCACGGACCTGCAGTGCTGTGACTTGTGTCCATGGTGAAGCCTGTTATGTAGACGCACACGCACCCTCTTACCTCTGCTCTTCAAGAGGAAGCACTCAAGGGCTGCCCGCCTCAGATAGGGACAGGGACGCGCTCTGTCTGGCGCTTAGCGCTGCCTCCTGTCTTCGCACACCTCCCTAGAGGGGTTCTCGGTACATCCGAAAGCCTTGCGGTCACCGTCCGCTACTGGCCCCACCGTCGCCCGCACTCCTGGTTCGAAACGGGTCTGGCACCCAAGCCTCCCTTCCCAACTAGGTGTCAACCCCAGAGAAGGCGAAGGAGAACGAAAGTTCAGGACCAAGGACAGCAGCGACCTGGGGAAGGAGGGAATCGAGCCAGAACTCGCCTCTCCCTCATCCTTAGCTTCTGTCTTAGAAACTGAAAACGGTCAGGTCGCACCAAAACGGAGTTGCCAAAACCAGCCCGTCTTCCTCCGAGGCGGTCGGAAACTCTGGCCGCGAGCCCAGGGTCTCGCGCTTGGATGTCGGGAGAAGAGCCCTCCCGAGATCGTGGGGAGCTGCCGCCCTCCGATGCAGCGGCTGGGCTGTGCTGCCCGGGGCGCCCCGCGAGGAGGCTGCCCCAGCTGCGCCTGCTCGTGCCCGGGGCGAGGATTCCCTTCTGGGCGGCGAGGAGGCCACTGAGAGGGAGGGAGAGGGGACGACAGCCGCGGGCTCCGGACACTCCCCGCCCCCGCCCGACGGAGAGCGGGTGCAGAGCCAGACCCCAGGCGGGAGCTCCCGAGCAGGCGGCCCGGAGTGGCCGCACAAACTTCTGTCCCGGCCGCGCCGCCCTTGGAGGTCCCTCCTCCTCTCCCGGTGACCCCGAGTCGCCCGCCGCTCCATCTGGCCAGAGCTTACCTTCAAGCCATAAGGCGCCCCGGGGCAGAGACGGCGCCGGCTGCTCGAGGCTTCCAGCTCCCGCCGCATCCACGCGCGGCCGCCCCTCCGGCAGCCGTCCGGGGCCGCCACTCTCCTCGGCGGGTCCCTGGCTCCCGGCCCCGCCGCGCCGTTCAGAGCCCCGGCGGGCAGCAGCTCGGCCGGCTCTGGCCCGCGGGGAGCAGTGGACCGGCCGCGGCGGGGCGGGGCGGGGCGGGGCCGGGCGCGGGGCGGGAGGGAGCGCAGGGACTGCGCGGAGGCGGCGCGGTGCGCGCGGGAGGCTGCCGGCTCGGCACTGAAGCTGGACAGCTCCGCGGTGCTGGAGCGCGGGGAGCGCGGGAGGGAGGCGCCCCGGGCCCCGCCCCTGAGACAGGCCCCACCCCCGTCCCCCACTGAACGAGCTGCACCTCCTGGGCGCTCCCCGGCCTGGGGGGATAGGAGGGGGTTGGGGATTCCGCCATCCCTTGCTTTGAGGCGGGAACCCAACCTTCGACTGCCCACTGCGCTCCCACACACACCCGAAGTAACACGCTGTGAATGCAGGCTGGGTCCTCACGGTCTGCTTGCCAGTCCTCTCCTTTGAGGACTCAGAAGCCAAGGGTTTCAGGAAGCACCACCCAACCAGCAAGTCAGACAAGGAGAGGAGGTGTTCGGAGAGGTCCGGATCCGTTTTCTGATTTCAGGTCTTGGAACCTTTGCAGTCAGTTCCGTTGCTGAACTCATCCAAAGGAAAAGGCCTATTTGGAGTTAACCTGAGATGGAAATGGAAAAGGAGGCCTCAGGGGTTCCAGCGCACATTTGACTCCAAACTGAGGTGTGTAAAGTGGGGAGTGGGGAGGGAGAAAGAGATGGAGTGGTGAAGAGTGTTCCGCTGCAACGCTGCCCAGGGTCATCTGGGCTGCAGAGGAACCTCATTCTTCACCCCTTTTCTTCCTCTCTCCTTTTCTTTCTTTCTTCCTTCTGCGGCAATTAGTTACCAACTGTCCTCACTCTGTCAGACTCTATGTCAGATTCAGAAGTCACAGACAGAAATAAAATCAGGCCCCTGATCCCACACCCTGCCAATCCAGAGAGGAGACCCCCCAGGGAAATAAATGAGGCTTAAACAGGTACTGTGAAGCACAAAATAGCAAGACTTCACAGAACCGAGCATTGAAGGAGCAACACCAGATCCCAAGGGGAGAAGGTGGCACAGCACTCCAAGTAGAGGGAACAGCAGGGGGTCAGCCCTACATGGCTGGAGTGGAGCCACCCTGGGCCATAAGGATTAACTTCATATCAGCATTTCCTCCAGTGACACATGCAATTATAGAAAGTGAGGGCTGGAGAGGACCTTAGCATTCATCTAATGTGTCCTCAACCTCAGAAGGGAGAACTGAATCCCAGATAAATGGCATGCCCTTGAGAATCCCACAGCGTCTAGCACTGAAACAGTCCCCCTCTCCAGAGGCACAAAACAGCCTCTCTCTCAAACACAGCCACCTCTGGAGGCACTGGGGCAGCGGAAGCTGTGGGCTCCCCACATCACCCTACCCTGGCTCTTCCCTGCTCCTGTCCCTGGATCTTGCTGATCTGGACTGGCCTCCATTTGCCTGCAGGCTCTGTGGAGAGATATGACAACAGGAGTCCTAGAATGTTGCCATACTTGCCTTTAAGGGATCAAACATTACAGATATGGTTGAAATTCCAGTGTTTCCCTCATATACCCTTGGGCCATTCTTTCCTAGGTTTAATCCACTTAAGGAGAGACTTGGTGCCCCCCAACTCAGCATATCTACATAGGTTCAGGGATGGGTCAGACTAGCCAGAGCACCTGGAGTGGTGTCCTGCCTTGGTCACCTACTCGTTGTGTGGCCTTGCCTAAATTAATTGATCTGGCTAAGCCTCAGTTTCTCCATTTTTAAGTTGGGGCTACAAATAATCTCTCTGGGCTGTACTGAGGAAAATAGATGAGGACATGTTAGACAATGGTAATATGGGCCATCCCTGCCTGCTCTGGGATAGGGAGGGAGCCTTGCTCATCAGGAGGCAGAAGCAGGAAGAAGATGAGCTCCATGAGATGCACCCACCCAAGGACACTGTAGCTCCGCATTGCCTTTTTTACCCCAATCTTACATGGCTGAGTGGATTTCATGCTGGCTGTGAGTGAGACGGATGGATCTTTTAGTTTTCAATTAGCAAACGTCTCAAACGTCTCACTCTTTAAACAAGCGGCACAGCAAACAGATGCACTGTGTGATTGATGACAGGGAACATCTGCAGCCAAGCAGTGGCTGCACCAAAGGTTCCCAGCTTCCTGGACTAGCAGGGCCCTCTGGAGGTCATTTGTTGCCTCCCCCTGCCTCTAGGCAGAAGTGTGCCCAGTCCAAGTAGGCCAGGTGGGGGCAGGGTATCCCTTTGCCTTACAGCTTTCCTGAGAAAGGATATACAACAGCCTCTTGGAATTCCTTACCTGTATGCTCCAGAGCCTCTTTGGAGTCAGGAAGTTCTACCTGACGTACTTCCTAAATCTTTATTTCTACCTTTTCATTGTTGAAAATTGTAAGGAAATGGGTAGTCATGGGTATTAGGGGTCATCTTAGTCCCTCTGGGATGCTATTAATATAGCAAAATACCATAAACCTTGTGGCTTACAAACAGCAATTATTTCTCACAGTTCTGGAGGCTGGGAAGTTCAATATCAAGGTGCTGGCAGAGCTGGTGTCTGGTGAGAGCCAGCTTTCTGTTTCATAGATGGCACTTTCTCACTGTGTTCGCACATGGTAGAAGGGGTGAGTGAGTGCCCTTGGGCCTCTTTTACAAGGGCACTCATCCAACCCATTAATGAAGGTTCTGTCCTCATGACTTTATCACTGTCCAAAGGCTTCACTTTCTAATTTTATAATCTTGGGGCTTAGGTTTTTAAATATAAATTTGGGGAGGACAAAGACATTCAGGCAGGACTAGGAGATGGGTTAGGGACAGAGGGTTGTGTTGACTTATTGTAATGAGGAAACAAAGGAGAAAGCCCACAGAGAATAAGGGTGAACTAGAACTTCCTCCCGTGCTCCAAGAACTGCTGGCTGCAGCTTGGAAAGGGGGGTCCCTTGCTGATCTCCTTCCAACTCTGATTGGAAGAGAGAACAATCATAGCCCCCTTCTAAAAGTCATCCCACAGAAAACAAAGGAAATGCCCTCATCTGACAGGTGGGGAAGGCAGAGCAGGGTCATGTCAGTAGCAACACTGGAGTCACACAGAGCTTTGTTTCCACCTAAACTCCACAATCTTGGGAAATTCTGAATGGCTCTGGGGCTCAGTGTTCTGGATTGTGAAATGGAAATAGAGAGCCACATCACAGTGCTATCGTGGAGATTAACTGGGAACAATAACCCACACATATTGATTCTCCATGGATCTTCCCCCCTTACAGAAAACTTCAAATAGAGAAGTGACACAGGAAATACAGACACTTTCTACATGGCATTACAGTTCTCCATTTCTTAACCCACTTTGCAGATGAAAACTGAGCCCCCATTTTCAAGCTCTGGAAATTTCTCTTTTCTCATCCTCTTCTTTTGTCTTTGTTCTTGTGCCATTTGCAAATGACTTGGGGAGCAGTAGAGCAGCAATCCATCCAGGTCAAAGGAAGTATGGGGGAAAAAGAAAATGAATTAATCCTTTTCATACTTTATTATATCCCTCAAATGCAGAAAACCTTAGAGAGGTGTGGAATTCTTGGATATTGTTGTTGAGGGATCCACAGCCCCATGCAAAATAATCTAGGGCAAGGACTGAAGGTAGTGGAGATGGTAGACTCCAGAGAAGGGTGGGCAAGGAGAGAATCTTCTGAGAAGGACAGAAGTTCAGGGCACTGTCCAACCAAGACAGGAGAGCAGAGAGTTTCCCGAGGTTTTTGACATCTGCATGTATAATCACTCTTAGAGAGTGATTTCCTCACTGGTAGACTCTAATGGGTCTTTCCACCTCAGTTTGAAATGGACATTTGTTCTTGCTGGCTCCTATTTTGAAAGAGTAGAGAATACAGTGGTGACTCACTTTTAAAAAGTCTGTTATACAGTTCTTCAGAGTTACAGAACAGATAACTCAGAGTGCAGTCATTCATATTAGAAATGTAATTGGTAGGAAGAGGTCATAAAAATATACACCTCATTTGCACACCTATGTTCACAGCAGCATTATGCGCAATATAGCCAAAAGGTGGAAACAAGCCATGTGTTCATCAACACTGATAAACAAGATGTGGTATTTACATGCAAAGGAATATCACTAAGCCTTAGGAAAGGAGAGAATTTCTCACACCTGCTACCACATGGAACCTTAAAGACATTGTGCCAAGTGAAATAAGCCAGTTACAAAAGGACATATACTGTATTATTCCACTTATGTGAGGTACCTAGAGTCAATCCACAGAGACAGAGAGTGAATTATGGTGGCCAGAGGCTAGAGGCAGGAAAAAATGAGGTTGTATTTGATGGCTATGGGTGTTCAGTATGAGAAAATGAAGAAAGTTCTAAAGTGGAGTGATGGTGATCCTTACACAGCAATGTGAATATACTGACTGGATCCAACCAAGATGGCCAAATAGGAACAGCTCCGAAGTGCAGTTCCCAGCAAAAACAATGCAGAGGGTGAGTGCCCACCACATTTCGAAACAAATTTTCACTGTCCACAGACCAGGAGATTCCCAGGCCAAAAGCGCCATGAGTTTTCAGCACAGCCAGTGCTGGGTTGGCCACAGAAACTCACACAATCTGGGTGGCCATTTCAACTGATGCCTGGAATGCCTGGGAGACAGAGCTGCCCATTCAACTGAAAGAGAGGGGGCTGAGACCGGGAACCAGGCGATCTGGCTCAGCGGGTACCACCCACACAAAACAAGCAATCTGAAATGCTCTGGATTGAAAGTTTTGCAGCAAGTGCAGCTGGATGGTCCAGCTCATTGGGGGGAAGGGCAACCACCACTACCTAGGCAGTCCCCCACTACTGAGGCAGTTCACACAGCAGCTGGGCAGAGCCTGCGGCAGCTCAGCAACACCTCTGCTGGCAGACTGTGACTAGAGTATGGGCATCTTGAAAAAAGGCAGCAGCACAACAAAAACTTATAAACAAAGCCAACCTTCCTAGGACACAGCACCTGGGAAAAGAGGTAGTTATGAGTTCCTATGTAGCAGACTTAAAAGTACCTGGCTAGCAGTTCTACATGGAACAATGGAGCTCCCAGCACAGCACTTGAGTTCCTATAAGGGACAGGCTGTCTCCTCAAGTAACTCCCCGACCCCCATATACCCAAAGAAAC